TTCGCAGCCGAGTGCGACGTGACCGGCATGCGTGTGAACGCATCTAAAACGAAGAGCCTAGTGCTTTCTCATTTTCCTGCCCGTTGCTCTCTTCAGATTAACGAAAAGGCGGTGGAGCAGGTGGAGAAGTTCAAGTACCTCGGAACTGTATTTACTAGTGATGGAAAGTTTGAGGAAGTGATCAACCGGCGAACTGGAGAAGCCAGCAACGTTCTGCGTGAACTAGCCCGAACCACTGTGACTAAAACAGCGCTCGATCTGAAAACTAAGCTCTCGGTGTTCAAGTCGATCTTTATCCCCTTGCTTACCTACGGCCATGAGTCGTGGACCACGACTGAAAAGAGACGAGTCGTTGGCTTTACGCGTTTGGACATGGTCCGGAATAAAGATATCCAGGAGAACCTTGGTGTACAGTCTCTGCTTCTCCAGACTGAGAAGTCACAGCTGCGATTTTTTGGGCATATGTTGCGAATGCCTCCAGAATGCAAGGCTAAGCAACTGTTTCTTGCCCAACCGACTGGCAGAGGGCCCTGGGGACGGCCGAGATTAACCTGGTGCAAATATATGGAAGGAATGTTTTCCAGACTCCAGCTGTCTTCTGCCAAAGCTCATACTCTGGCACAGTATCGGGGACGTTGGAAGCACTCTCTGACGCGTTTGCCTCCGCGACCCGAAAAGAGAAGCGGCCATGGAAGATGAACATGAAATAAAATGTTGGGACATATCGCTGACTGAATTTTGTACTGCTGCAGTGAAGTATTTCGACATATCTTCGTTAATTCGCTGTACGCAATCATATTCTTCTGCACATCATTGTCGTAAATGGTGTGTTATGACTTGCAAAAGTTGTGAGGCATGTTTGGTGAAGTGACGGAATAGGATTTATTGTATTACTGTAGCAACTAGGATGAGAACTAGTAGTTCCGCGTCATCAGTAAAATAGAACCTCATTTCAGTTCTGAATTTAGACAAAACCGCTTGAATGATTTTTGTAAAACACACGGAGACTAAAGTATTGGTATCATATGCATTATCATCCAGGTTACACCATCGTGCAGTTAGCAGATACTGTCCCAAGTAAAGAACGAGAACAACGGCAAGCAAAGTCTACAGGATGCATGCGACTGGTTTTCTGTCACTTCAGAGTAACAGGTCATTGTTCTGCGTTGTTAGAAGTTTTTTATTTCTCGATCATATGTTAAATTTGTGTTTTTCTGTCAGGATGAAGACAAAGCTGGTGTTGGAAGCGGCCATCGAAGAGAGATTCGAGCCCTGATTAAGGAAAAAGATTTACAGAAAGCGACGATCGATGCTTACAATGCCGAAAAGGAGCGTCGACGTCGTATCGCTGAAAGACAGAAACTGGTACCCACAAGAATTGTTTAATTCATTTTGTGATAATTTGAGATTATTAACGTTTGAATCATGATCGTTATAGTACAACAGTACTGAACAGCAGTTGGCGCCAGAGTCTAGCGAAGAACCACAAAATAAAAAATTGGTATTAGAGGAATACGGCGATCATTGTCGAATTGAAGTGAATCAAAAATTGGCCGCGCTGTTAAAGCCTCATCAAATGGAGGGAGTCCGATTCCTTTATCAGAATACAATCGAAAGTATCGATAAAGTAAAAGAACCAGGCAGCGGCTGCATTATTGCACACGCGATGGGATTAGGCAAAACCTTGCAGGTAGCA